TCTTATAGTGAGCGTGTAGGCATTCCCGACCACAGTCCTTGGGAATGAGAGTGTGAGCTCCCCTATTCGGGTTTCCCCCATCATTAGAATGTAAACATTGTATATGTATATTGTATGTATTATGTACTGTATGTAATGTACGGTATATAATGTATGTGTGTATTATCTAGCTGTGTGTCTGTGTGAACGAGTATAAAGGGATGTTATTTAATCCTAATAAATCTTGTTATATACTCCTAATTGAGTTGAGAAGTTCCTAACTCGTGATGGCACAAGTTCTTCCTAAAGTTTCTGGACATTCGCGAATGTTGCCGACGTTGAAGTTTGGCCCAGATTAAAATTAATTTGTCCTAGGTTGGTCGAAAGCCGAAAAGAATAATTAAGTTTTTGATCGAAGAAAGGCAGAAGTTCGAGAATTATACAAGCCTTTATTTCTTGACCTTAATTCCTGATACAGTTGCAACATAAAGTTTTAATAGCTTAAATGTACTTATTATAATTTAAGTACTAGTTTTATAAATTATTTTACAATATAATAATTCATTAAGTATTCATTTTCTTATTAAGCAATCTATCACGTTTCAAATTCATGCGAGGTTCACTAATTAAGAAGGCTTTACAGTTTACAATTGTATTTGCCCCAAGTTTCTTTTTACAAATGAATTACTGCAACATAACCAGGATTCTAATTGTACCTAAGAGGGCACATGCACTCGAAAGGAGTAACAGAAGAAACTGTGCAGATATTGCCAGGAAGAAGGGGAGACAGCAGAATACGTTTTATGTTTTTGGGAGCATCTATGTAGGTTAGATTCTTTCAACAAGGAGAGAAAAAGCCGCAAGCAAGATCCTACACTAAGGAGGCCCTGGCAAGGCTATGGACGTTGAATAACAACAGCTGGCCAGTTGGTTATAAAAACTAAAATATAGGTGCACAATAGACCTACTCAGGACGAGGTGTAGAAGGTCTCGTTGCCGCTTAATTTTATCACTATCCAACTATCCGTTAACTTAGTAAAAGTAGATATCTCTCCAAGGCTATGTACCTATCTAAAAAGGTAATGCTTATGATATGGCTGTACACTACCGAGGAAACAAACTGAAATGTACTAAACAAATACACTACCTGGGAGTCATTTTTGATGAGTATATGCCCTGGACATATTGAGGACATTTGTAACCACGCAACGCAACTTATCCACCAACTAGGTAAATCTGCTATGGCTTACTACGCTAAAAGTGAAGGTTGGACCAATTCTAACGTACGGGGTCCAAGGCTTACATAAGAAGAGGAACATTCAACGTATTAAACAGGTTCAACGCCTAATTCTTTTGAGAGTTATAAAAGGCTATAAGAACCATTTCTTATGAAGCGGCGAATGTAATCTCCGGATGATGATCTAAATGATCTAAATTTATTTTAAAATTCTCAGTATTCTAATTTTCATAAAATTTTAATTGATTTTTATTAATAGAATAAAGAAGAATTCCTGATTACATAATTTGTCTTTGAACGGTTTTAATAATATTATTGTCTTTTAAACTTTGATCAAGTACATTCTTAACCTCTTTTATCTTATCATTTACTTTCTTCGTTTCTTCTCAGGTATTTTAACGATCATTTTTCCGCAGCTGTAGTTTTCTTTTTCTCATCATTCATATCTACTACATAACTTTTTTCACGAATCAAATCATTAAATTTTTTTAACTCATGTATTAAATTTTCTATAGTTTTTGGTTCATTTTTATGGTAAGAGTTCTCGGAAGTCGGACAGAACAAGTCGGCGTCCCACAAGGGAGCATTCTTGGTCCCATCCTTTACATAATTTATACTGCCGACCTATCTATTCACCTTAATACCATCATCACCACCTTCACGATACTGCAATTTGTCCGCTACTCGAATCCTATATCTCCAACATCCAAGAACACTGTGAGCTTATTGAAGGGTGGTGAAAAAAAAATAAAGGAGAAGATTGAATGACGAAAACTGTACTCAGTGTGCGTCCTCATTGAAAAAAGTTGGCCTCCGCTAAAAACAACCACAAAGAGATATCGATTACCTTTCAAGTCAAATACTTACGACTGTGACACTGATAACGTGGAATCACAACAATTTAACAGAAGATTTCTGTGAGGCTAGGTCTTAGAACTGGACTAAGGACCGGATATTTAGTGGTCTATTAACCAAATTACTTCTTTCAATTAATTAATCTTTTTAATGTAAGATTTGGGTTGAAATGAAAAATAGAAAAAGGAGGGAAAATTCGAAAGGTTGAAGGTTGAGTTGGGCAGTTGGTGTCCGAGAGGATCGAAGTCACGATAGCTCAAGTGGTAGAGCAGCGGCGTATTGAGCCGAAGGTCGTGGGTTTGAATCCCGCTCGTGACACTAGCTTTTTCATTTCAACCAAAACTTTACATAAAAAGACTTTTACACACGACATTACTGCGACCACTTTGCATTGGCTGGTTTCTCACGGAATGTATCCTCCGGGTGTAGCACTGACTTTAGTATTAGCGCTGTAACAGTTTGACAACGCTACAGTACTACGCATCTGTAGTATGTACTGTTGGGTACAAACAAAATCATTAAAAAAATCTATTTCTAACTATACTAGACAGACTATCCATAAAACAATTGGCTTCAATTACCCCAAGGAAATTAAAGAACTAATAAATCAGAAAAGAAAGGCTAGAAGAAGATGGCAACAATCAAGAGACCCTGTATACAAAAACATTCTTAACAATATGGCTCAAAAACTTAAACGAAAGCTAAAAAAACTACATGACGACTCAATCACAAATTATCTAGAAGACCTAACTCCAGGCGAAGCCACTGACTACTCTCTGTGGAAGACCATTCCATTAAAAAAAGAAGATTGGGCGAGAGATAGCAGAGAAAAAGCCGAATTGTTTGCTAGTTACCTTGCTGAAATCTTCAAACCAAATGAAATCATCAATAGCAGTTTACTTGAAGTAACAGCCACGCCACAAGATGAAAATATAAAGCTAGTTTCACCTAAAGAAGTAGCAAAAGAAATTAAAAATTTACCTGTTAAAAAGACTCCAGGATATGACCTTATCACTGGATAAATACTAAAACAATTGCCAAAAAAGGGTATAGTTAAACTAACATACCTATTTAATGCTGCAANATATCAAAATCATACAAACACTCCAAAATAAAATCTTACGTAACATGGTCATTGCACCTTGGTCATCTTAAGATCCCTGAAGTCACGGCGGAAATACAAAGATTTGCCGCCAAACACTAGGATCGCCTCAGCCAGCACGAGAATGTGGAAGCGACCAAACTCTTACATAACCGAAACATGGTCAGAAGATTAAAAAGAACAAAGCCAGATGAACTTGTGTAGTTAAAAGTGAATAGTGAATAGTGAAATGTAAATCTTATTGTACCAATGGGTTTATAAGAATGTAAACATTTATTTATTCTATAATATTATTGTAAAATTAATGGTTGGTCTAATAAGACCAGTTTTAATAAATAAATAAAAATTCTAACTAAGGAAGATTAAAAACTACATTTCAAAGACAATCAGTTTCGTTATCTGATGGAAGCCAGGACCATGCCCGTCCAAACTGATTAACTTACCGAATGGATGTTTAAGTGGACGAAGGTGCATTGAGGAAGTTCTTCTGGAAGCTGTGGTCCTATTCGAACCATTTATCAGGGGAAAACTTCGTATTACTGCAGGATAACGATCTATCGTATTTACTCGAGTTTTCACCCATTACTTGGAGGAAGTAGGGATTTTCAGAATCGGCGAGCACATTCTCCTGACAAACCATAGAACGTTATGGAACATGATGGCGGGTTAGATATCTTTCAACGCCTCCAACAAGCTTTGAAAAGCTTTAAACTGCTCTTGAAGAATGGGATTCTGTTTCACAAGGCGAAATCCGATCGCTTATTTAATTTAACTCTTAACTTTTATTAACTCGATGCCTATAAGACTAAAGGCCCTCCAGAGGGGTAATTCGTTATTCAGAAGATATCCAGGTAATAAATTGTTAGTTAAATTTTAATCTATAGTTAAATGATTTTCCAGTTTTTTTGGTGAATTTTCATTCAAACTGTCATAATTATAAAAAACTTAACGAAAACAATTGTAATAAAGGTAAAGACAAAACACTGTTTTTTTAAATTTTTTTTATTTATGCATTAAAATTATGTTTACAATTCCAACTGTTTTGGCTGGAGTACCAAAAACCTCTCCCCCCCCAAAAAAACTTACGATTTTGGCGTGGTCTGTATAAAGAAAAAAGAAAAAGGAATCACTGAAGTTGCAACTCCGTAGAACGACCTTTGGTTCAGGAAGTGAAGGATAGGATGGGAAATTTGTGAAATACTAAAGGAAAATTTAAGGGGAAAATGAGAGGTGCTCACAGGAGAGGTTTTTTAAAAAGAGGAGAGGTTTTCGTTCTCAGTAGACAGAGAAATCAGAACTGCTGGACGAAGGAAGAGGTTTAGGAGAGGACTCAAAGGGTCAAGGCGCAGGGCGTCTATTTTGCTCTGCCCAAAACACCAATTATTACAACAAATTAAAAAAAATAGTAAATTTAACGCCTCAGGGAACTTTGATGCGTCAACGCAATGTTTCGGGCCGATTTGACGGATTTAGAAAAAATAAAAATAAAATAGCAATTATTTCAGTACACTATCTGTAGTTTATTATGTCACATTTTTGTTGAACTCAATGTAATTTTGGAAATATGTGAATTATATTCTTTATTTTTTAAATAACTTTTTGCTCTATATTTTTACGTCGTTATTGTATTTTGGGCAATTATTTGTCCCCGTTTTGTTCAACCTTATTAATAATATATCTGATACCTGGGCTTAGAGTATACAGCCCTTAGGATAATTACAAAGGAACGATTGTTCACCATTTGGCAGTTGTTGGTTTTTTTTAATTAGCCAGCTAAGGCGGACGCTAAAAACAGCAGTGGCCAAGGTAAAGTTACCTAAATTAAAGTTGAGATGATAAAGCGCACGATCGTGCAATGGCAAAAGTGGTAAAGACAAAATCCACCGGGAGGGGATCAGTGTTAGACGATGTGGCAAGATAATAATTACGCGCCCGTTCCGACTTTTCCACCGGAGGATTCGGACAGTAAAGACGGTGAATGTTTGTCGTCGAAATTTTTGCTGAGGGTGCCTTCTGAACCGGCAACTTCCACGTACCAAGTGCATTGCAGGGGCAAGGCTGTCAGGCAGCAGGAAAGGCAGAACTCAGATCTATTATTAGCAGTCTTACAATCCGACGCTGAGCAAGTGAAAAGGTGGGATATTTTTGGTTGACAGGTTAATTTCATACTCTAACTTATTTTAAACCTTCTGTGCACTCTATACTTTGCCAAAACCCTGTTAACATCCAAACCCTCCTGACTTTTATATCGAAATCAAAAATCGAAAAATCAAACTGTATTCTACATCGCAAAATTAATACATAATTTATTTCATGCTTAAAATACCTTTAATTATTTCCAAAAAAAAACGCAAATTATTTTAGATTGTTTCTGATCGAAAGGTCAACCGTATGTTCTAAAAAAACTCATGAACGAGTGAAAAATATTATTTTGATTTATACACACTATGCAACCCTTTAACTTCACATTTTAAATATCTTTAATCACTTCACAAAATTTAAATTATTGTAGATTGTTTTTGATCGTAAGTTTGAGAATATGTTCTACAAAAAAAAAGCAACTCATGAACCAGTGAAAATTTTTATTTTTATTTAAACAATTAGTGCTTTTTTTAACGTCTCGTTCTTTAACAGTCTTTGTATAATAAATAAAATTATAAATACATTTATGTTTAGAGGTCTAATTGACCAAATTACTTCTTTCAATTAATTATTATTTTTATCGATGTTTCCTTATATTTCGACCTCAACAATTTAACTTATGATTTTTCCTTCTCGAAGGTTGGATAATAGGTCATCTCAAAAAAAAAAAAAAAAACGTTTTCTTTCAATCCACAACATTATTTTTATGTAAGGTTTTGGTTGAGATGAAAAAGTTAGTGTCACTAGCGGGATTCGAACCCACGACCCTCGGCTCAATACGCCCCTGCTCTAACCTAGCTCAAGTGGTTAGAGGAGCTGCGTATACACTAATTTTTTCATGTTAACCAAGACCTTACATAAAAAGAATAATTAATTGAAAAAAAAAACTTTAAATGTTCAACCCCATAATTTCATTCTTTAACTATCTTTAAGTATTTCAAAAAATTTAAATTATTTTAGATTGTTTTTGATCAAAAAGTAAAGAATATGTTCTACAAAGCAAAATTAATACATGATTTATGTAAACAAAGTCATGAGCAAGTAAAATTTTTTATTTTGATTTAAACACCTCATGCATATTTAACTAGTGCTTTTTAGAAAGTCTCGTTCTTTAGTACTCTTAAGTTCCATTTGTATAAAAAATAAAATTATAAATATTCAATCCCTTAATTAATTTCGTCCTTTAAATATCTTCAAACACCACAAATTTTTTAAATGATTTTAGATTGTTTTTGACCTAAAGGTTAAAAATATGTTCTAAAAAATCTCAGAAATAAGCAAAAATTTTATTTTGATTTAAACACCCTACGGCCTTTTTTTAACGTCTCTTAGCACATCCATTTGTACAATAAATAAAACTATAAATGTTTAACCCCTTAATTTAATACTTATATTATCTTTAATCACTTCGAATAATTTAAATTATTTTAGATTGTTTTTGATCAAAAAGGAAATAATATGTACAACTAAGCAAAATCAATACATAATGTATGTAAACAAAATCATGAAAAAGTGAAAAATTTTATTTGGATTTAAACACACTATGCTTATTTAACTAGTGCTTTTTAGAACGTCTCGTTCTTTAGTAATCTTAAGTCCCATTTGAATAAAAAATAAATTTATAAATGTACAACCCCTTATTTTCATAAAAATATTTTTAATTACATCCAAAAGACGTAAATTATTTTAGATTATTTTTGAACGAAAAGTCAAAAATATGTTCTAAACGCAAAATTAATACATAATTTATGTAAAAAAAACTCATGTAAAAGTAAAAATTTAAACACTTATGCACTATTTTTATGTTGTTTTTTATGCAAATATTAATGAACTTCTTATTTCATTTCGGTATAAACTCGTTCAGAGATGTATAATTTTTTTGTTTTTAGTATTTGTTGTAAAATGACTTAATGTATAAATTTCATAATTAATTTATTTCGCTAAATCTCCATGGTGGGGTGGTTTACAGCAATGAAATTATTTTGGAAATCGAATTTGGCGTAGTTTCATAAATATAAATTATTATGCTGTTTTGCTTTATAAATAATTGTATTTTTTCTCGAAAAGATAATGTGTACTATTTAACTCATGAATAGAACTTAAAAAAATTACTATTTTAAACAACAATCGGTTGTAATTCTCTCGTCAGATCATTATTTTGGCCAGATTCCCTTTGATCTGTAACATCAGTTTCTTTATAAAATTAAAAAATCCTTTCTAATAATTCTATTATAAAACCTAATAATTATTCAAAAAATACATTTATCTGTACACAAATAGTTGCATAATATAACTTTTAATAATGTAATAATAATTTTGCCTACCTCCTGTCTTCTTTTTGACATGAATTGTGCCAAATTTTGTGCTTTTGTTGTTATTCAAAAAGCCCAAAACCCCAGAATACAATTTATTTTCTTCTTCTTTATATTTATGTATTTACGAGCCTTGAAAATGAAAATTTTCGTATGAAACCCAGAAAGTTTCAAAATTTAATTTACTAAGTATTGACAGTAAATTAAAAATGAATAGATAAATAAACTTTTTTGCTTTCGTTTTGTTGCTTGTGTCCTTTTTGAATGTTAAAAAAAACGAATTTTTCACTCACTAAGATGGCCAACAATTGAAACTTATAAGTTGTAAAGTAAAACTATTTTAATAATTCTCATTTCATAAATGAACAATTAATTGAGGAGGATCGTCAGAACTAAATATAAATGGAAGGTAATTAACCGATGTTGTAATAAGTGTGTACCTACTTGCCTTACTTTTGAATTCGCTGACCAAACAGTTTTATCTCTTCCAACGGATGTGTCACCATGTTTGGTTAAGATTAGACACCGTAAAACAGGATAGGTGATATGTTTTTTTAAAATTTTATCTTTATCTTAGACCGGGCCTGCAATTTTACAATAAAAAACCTAAAACATTAAGTCTTTCTTGAGCCCATAGTTATAATTATTTATATTTTGTGTTGTATATGTAGAATAACGATGCATTCAGCTGTTGATAAGATCATAATTTTAGGTTATTGGAGAATGGAGCGAAACCGCAGGCCAGTTGCCGCTCTTCTATGTGTTCGACGGTCCACCTCGCCGCCCTCAGAGGGGATGATAACATTTTGAGACTATTGCTTGAAGCCGGGGCGAACCGCGATTGCATAGACGAAGATGGTAGACAGCCGATTCATCTGGCCTCCTGGTCCGGTCAAATATCCACTTTGGACGTTTTACTCGAAGGCCATCCAGAGCTCATCCATTCTCAAGTCGAGATACCAAAAGATTATATACGGGAAACTGACCTGGTGGATTCGTGGGATCACGACCACGAGGAGATCAGATCAATGGTTTATATAAGCCGAATTTTTTTATTTTTAGCCTCGCATTTATACCGTCGCTTTTACAGCTGCCGAAGATCAGCGCTGGAAGCACCCCTCTTCACATCGCTTGCAAGTTGAGCAAAGTACAACTCGTCAAACATTTATTGAACAATGGTTCAGAAGTAAATAGCAGGGATGCCCGTGGTTTGACTCCTTTGGACGTCGCTGGGCTTGAAGATACGTCCTCCTCATCTGACCAAACGATTCCGATCGAAAGCAAACCGTCCCACGCATCTGATAGACCGTTGTACGACATCATCAGCGTATTGATTGATAAAGGAGCCGTACTTACAGACAAAAACGAAACCATCGTCGACGGCATTCACCTCCCGTCAATCGACGTCACCGCTTTACATACTGCGGTCGCAAATGAAAATTTAGAACTGATAGACTTCTTGTTGGAAAATGGCGCTAACCTTATTGTCCTAAATGAACAAGGAGAGTCTCCATTGCATTTGGCCGTCAGAAAAAAACTGTTCGAACCCTTAAAGACAATGCTGAGCTGGTTGGAACTGAAACAGATCAATATAAAGAACAGTGCAGGTCTCACTCCTCTTCACCAGGCGGTTCAAGAAAAATGGGCGTGCGGAGTAGGCATCCTTCTAGAATCAGGGGCGGATATCGAAGTCGTTACCGAAAAAACAAAAGAGACTGTCCTTCACGTGGCAGCTGGAATAGACTGCCCGACCATCTTAGAGGAATTGTTAAGCGTTGAAAGTTCTTTAGAGGTAAGTTAATGCATAGGAAACAAGGATAAGTCTTCTTTTCTGTTCTATTAACTTAATCATGTTTCAGATAATAAATGCTAAAGATTGTCAAGAATTCACTCCGTTGTTTCGCGCAATAAAAAGAAATAACACAACAAATGTTGAAATTCTCATAAAACATAAGGCTGATTTGAACGTCCGTTTGCCTGGTAATTTCAACCTACTTCATTTCGCAGCCGAATGCGAAACGGCCAGCATTATGAGAGCACTTTTGGAAAAAGATGCAGTCCGACGCAAACTCATGAACGAACTTTGCGATAATGGAAAAGGCGGCTTATCACCTCTTCATATCGCCGCTAAAAACGGAAACATCGAATTGGTCAAAATCCTGATAGAAAAAGGTGCCGATGTTCGTCAGACGAGTAGCCGCGATCCGCACCACAGATCAACGTCCCTCCACTTCGCCGCAGAGAAGGGCTATTGGAAAATAATCGAAGTGATCCTACAAAATACAAACGAAAAAGAACAAGTTGAACTTTTAAATGTCAAAACCGATTTAGACTGGACACCGCTTCACATCGCGGCCGGCTACGGACACAGAAAATCCGTTGTGCTCATGCTAAAAGGAGGAGCGAACATAGCCGAAAAGGTGATGTACCACGGCGTCAGAAAATCCGCCTTGGACTTTATGGTTCTAAATATTCCAAAATGCGTCGACGTTTTAGAAGAACTTCTCGACACTTACATCAGCTGCGATAACTCCTTGAAATACTCAAACTGCGAAGTAAAACTCGATTATAACATTCTACTCGGGCCGACGAACGCAAAACCCGAGGAAGAGAGACAGATGATCTTCCTCAATACAGTGCTGGACAACGGAAATTCCCTTCTCAAAGAGAAAATAATGCTCCATCCTTTGGTCGAAACGTTTTTGTTTTATAAGTGGGAGAAAATGAGGAATTTTTTTATGTTTTTGTTTGTATTATACGTCTTACACACTGTCTTATTAACGTCACTTTTCGTTTTCACCTATGTCCAAAAAGTCCAAGTGGCGAGTGGGTGGACTTATGCAACTGTATTCGTTTTACTGCTAATATTTGCAATAGTAAGTACTTTTTATCACTTCGTTTTTCACCAGACGAAATTAGGATCAAAACAACTCATTTTTAAAATTTTTAATTAGACAGCTTTTGTTCAGTGTAATGTTTTTAATTTGGATAACATTTAACGCTTTCTTTTCCAACGTTGCATCAAAGCAGCACTAAATTAAGCAAATATTCTAAATTTTAGCTAATCCCATGAGTTTAGGGTAGGCGCAGTGTTTTTCCTTCGATGTTTCATGTATTGGCAACACTGATTTTTTTGGCACCGTATAAAATTACCATCTTGGAATCTTCTAGTGCAACAAGGCTCTTCATCTCACACTACAGCTTGTATCGATTGTTATATTAGCCAAACATAAATTTTTCAATTCCAGTTCATAATTTAATCCTTTCATGCCCAAATTTGCTTCAGAGCAATGTCAACTTTAGCAATTTCGTGTAAGTTTAACAGGAAATACCGTGAGTTTAGGGCGGGCGGAGTGTTATTCCTGCTTTTTCAGCCCGTGTGTTGGCAACACTGATTTATTTCCAAAATAATGCAATTTTACAATTATAATTAAAAATCCTCTTAATGGTACAACGACCTCAATTAAAAGGACTGTGTTAATTTTGGTCTAGTTATACATCTTATAAAGGTTTTCACAGAAAAATAATGAGTGCATCCTACTATCGTCATGATGAAAAATAAACAATATAATAATATTAAAACTATGCCTGTGAATAATTTTTATGTTTTTAAGGAAGTCCTCCAAGCACTTTCTCGGAAGAGGTTTTACTTTTTCGATACGGAATCGTGGATAAAATGGGCTGTTGTAGTGACGAGCCTGTACACGCTGACTTTGAACATTTTGGACGAAAAGAGAAGACATTACGCCTGTGTCGCCGTCCTGCTGTCATGGGCAGAATTGCTTTTCTTGGTTGCCAGGTTTTCTCTCGGCGGCCTGCATGTTTTAATGTTCGAAAAAGTCGCCGCCAACATATTTCTGGTAATTACGGTTTTACTCTATTATTATCTGTTTAGTGTTCACTAGTAGCCCACACTATGTATATCAAAATAGTTATTATTCAATGAGGATTTTGCACCGCCGCAATTTTGTAAGAAGTTAACTTGATGTCAGGGGGTGACCTGTAAGGACTACATCTAGCAGAGGTTAGATGTCCTCATTGATTTGGTTACATCTCCCGATGAACACTTCTGCAACAAGTTTAGTCTAGGTCTAAAACCCGCGTAGGTCTCCCGTTTGTAGAGAAATCAGTGGTTGGAGTTCCGGTTTGAAAAAAATCCCAATTGTAAGTATTTTTGGTTCGAATTCAGCCCGTTGAGGTTCGAACCCGGGACTCAGACTAGTTTCACACGAGGCGGTTTTTTTTGTTTCAACGCCTGGTTGACTCTCAACTAGTCACTGCCTTGCATATATTTTTCTTGGCTTGTTTAACACCAGGCTTTTCACCACTTTTTGTGCTTGACCTTCTTCTTGTTTGGCAAGCTCCATGCTGTTGAAATCGGGAAAACATTTGCGTCTCAGTTCTCTCCAAGCTTCTTTTTTGAAAGTTAACACAATATTCTTTACACCTCAGGTCCCATATCGCGGGGTTAAGCCGAAGTATTACTTCTGAATATTGAAATTTGCAGTAGAAACGCTTTCCATAGTGAATTCATTTGACTCAACTAGGCGACTGGTGTGACAGAGGCCTTACGTTCCTTGATTTAAGAATAAAAATATTTATATGGTGTGTAAATATTGATTGGGGAAAGCCCCCCTCCCACTCTCCGGATCGGACCATCGCGATCAGTCCCTCTGAAGCTATGCACGCATTGAAAAACATGATAAAAGAAAGATGGCATCGTCAGTGGGCGGGGTCATCGGAGAGGCTTTTGCGAGTCAAGAGCACGACCGGTAGATGGCCCTGAGAGAACCTGAGCATGAGCCGAGGGATTGTCCTCACCCGACTGAGGATTGGCCATTCGCGGTTGACAGGTGCCTCTTATTCAGAGAAAAGTTGCTCGATGTGTCCCACATAATAGAGTCGTGTCATGCCTAGGCTTCATACAGAGAGCGTGTAGGCATGCCGCCGGATTTAAGAATGGTTCTCGGACACGGTAGCGAGTTTCAGGGTCCCCTGTTCCCCTTTTTAGAAGAATTTGGAATTTTTTTTAATCGTAAATAGCCTTCAAAATATGTGTTTGTGTTTTCTATGAGTGAGTGTATTTATTAGAGTGAATGGGGAGGGGCTGATAGTACAATACCATCCTCATCGCCCCTCGAGCTGTGTATGTGACTTGGGTCGATGGCGGAATATTTATAAAAGTACCTCATCGACCCCAATTAGATTAGTTTTTATTGCATGCAGGTCAATGGATAAATAATGAGTACTTCATCTACCCAACAATAGAATGAATGTATATAGGTGTGACTGTATTAATTTGCGTGAATGCGTATTAAATGTGTGTTGTAATATTTCGCATGCGGGGCTGAAATGACCAAGCTGTCGAATGCCCCCTAAAAGAAAAAATAATAATAACGATAAAATGGGGAGTTTAGGTGCGGCAAACAGCTGTCATTGACCGGCCCTATACTTATGTTCCTTTTTTTTCTGATCTTTCACGCGTATTTTGCAACCTATAGTAATTTGAACGTCTTGATCTGTTACTGCCTTTCTGCTTTTACATGTAAGCTAAGTCGATATCCTAAAATGCTAGTCTCTCATTTGAACCTAAGGTTGACCACTACAGAGTAGACACTAGACATAAAACGCAAACATCACCACTCTATACAAGAAGTCTGGTCATACTCACTCTCCCTGAGTACTTGATATTCTCGGGGCGTGGTTCTTACCCACCTCTTCCTTTCACGCTAATAAATTACACTCATTCCATCGTGATGATATCCATTATCGTGCATTAGAACAGGATTGTCGCTCAATTCATCGATGATAGGAAACGCATGATGTTCCAAAATTTCATCCATATAGCGAGTGGCGGTCAAAGACCCTCCAAGAACAACAACCAACTTGGTGCGACTCTCCCCCCACACCATCACTAAGCTACATTGAAAAGGTTGGCTTTGGGAAAAAAATACAGACTTCGAAACATTTCATTTCACTCAACTGTAAAAAGTACAGCAGACCAATCGTCCAAAGACCAATGGCTGCGAGCCGTGCAACTCTGTGTATTCTGGCCAATTCTAGTCCTCTTACGGGGCGAAAAGCCATCAGTCCGTTCTGATTTAATCTTCTTCGAGCAGTGTGTTGAGAAATTTGGACACCTCGAACTTCCTGGAGCAGATGAATCGCTTGGACCGACTGTAAGGTGCCGCAAAATTTTCAAAGTCAAAAAACGGTCATCCTATGGTTCTGTTCGCTAGGGCGTCCAGAACCGGACCTTCTATGGTAGGACCCAGTTTCTAGAAAACGTCTAACGGCGTCTCGCAGTGTTTCGTAGGGAACTACGATGGCAATATCCGCATATCAGGTGGAACGTCCATCATCAGTAAGTGCCACACCACGCCCAACATCCTCAGCTCTAAGTGGCATTTTTAAGATTAAAAATTGAAATTAAGAAAACAAAGATGAAACCTAAACAGTTTATTGCTTCAGAATGGGACTAAATACACATTTTAAAATCCGTAAATTGAAAAATCCTTTATCCTTGTTTTGGATTAAGGATGAAGTGTTTTTACCTCTAATTGATATTCCCAATTTAAAACATAGCATAAACAAATATTTATTGATAAAACAATGAGACAAATCAAGGGCAAAATTGTCTTTTATCGAGAAAATAAAATCAATTGGGTGGAATTTTTTGCTTGTTAGTGTATTTTGTCGTCTAGGTACGTTTAATTTTTGTTAATCTGCCCCTTTTATTTTGTTTCAGTAATTTTTATTGTTTTATTTACTTTTTTTTAAAGGTATTGTTGAGGTTCGTGTTTATATTTGTGGGATTCATGTTTGCCTTCATGATACATTTCGACGGACAACCCCCGTTCGGCAGTTTTTGGGAAGCGATGTGCAAAGTCATGTCCATGATGACGGACCTGGATTATAACAACACATTCAAGGCAGGAGCAGATTTATCAGTTTCTTCTCTAACCGGCCGATTTTTGTATTTATCCTACATGCTCCTCGTAGCTATGGCCATGGCGAACCTGATCGTCGGCCTGGCCGTGAGCGACGTAGCAGTACTCGAAAACCAAGGAAGGGCTCAACGTCTGGCCAAGCAGACGGCTTTCCTGAGCTTCCTAGAATCCTGCTTTTACAACAAATTCGTCTTCAGCTGTTTCTCGTGCAGCTTTCAGAACGTCGTCTCTTCTTTGAAAGTCGCGTCGATCGTCTCGGTGCACCCGCATCGACCGCAGGAACTGCCTGCAGAACTGAGAGCCAAAGTGATCGCGAACGCTACCGCATCCGTACAAAAGGAAGATAATTCAATTTGGACAGAAACGCTGGAAGAGAAGTTAGACTTAATTTTGGCCCACCTCAAGGCGGCAAACAACAAACAATAACACAGTTTAAATATGAATAACCAAAGTTAAAACAAAAAAACCCCTTTTTTAAATAATAATTATGCGATACTTTCTTTGTAACTTAATATATTTAGTATATTGAAAAATGTTTTCTCTTTGTTGTTTCGTCCCTTCCTTGTTAATCTACATAATATTTCAACTCTTTGTAAGTTTTTAAAATTAAAACTCCAGGAATACATAATTTATTTATTCATTGAAAAAAATTTAATAATAATTTCTTATTTTATTACAATGCTTCACAGAATTTCTAGTTTATTAAATCTTCCGGCCTTTTTCGAATTGTATTCGCTATTGTAAGTTAAAATTAGATTGTCTTGATTTAAGGCATTTTTAAAGAGGAAAAAAGTTTCAAACGTCTATGACGAAATTATAGACAGTTTTTCACTGATGATGGCACAATGCCGAAACACATTTGAGAAGTTCGATAAACTCGCGAGTGGGGACGGACCCATCGCTTAAGGATTGAGTTCATCAACGACATTGTCAAGTGTTTTTCAATGTATAAGTATACTTAATTTTTAATCATTAAATTCACATATTACTATAAATTAATATATTACAATTAATTAAGGTTTTTAGTTGAGATAAAAAAAATCCCGATCCCGCTCGTGTCATTGACTTTTTTATCTCAACTAAAAACCTTAATTAATTGTAATATATTAATTGGTCAAGCGGACCATGAAATTAGTGAATTTAATGATTAAAAATGAAGTATACTTCACTAAAGCTCTCCGTGGCCATTTCATTTGTCGCCGAGAATCCAATCCGATTACACGACATTTGAAAAATGGCAAAAAGGAGGGAAAATTCAAAAGGTGGGGTTGAGATGGGAAGTTGGTGTCCGAGTGGATCGAGGTCACGATAGCTCAAGTGGTAGAGCAGCGGCGTATCTAGCCGAAGATCGTGGGTTCGAATCCCGCTCGTGCTATTGACTTTTTTATCTCAACTAAAAATCTTAATTAATTGTAATATATCAATTGGTCAAGCGGACCACGAAATTAGTGAATTTAGTTATAATATTTGTGATATAAATTTAAATGAGCAAAAATCAATAAAAGATTTAGGAGATCTTTGACAAAACTCTATCTTTTACCGATCATATAGATGCAATTGTAAACAAATTGTAAATAACTGTTAATAAACTCCGAGGATTTCAACAATATAAATTGTATAACAACTCTTAGACTGTATAAATTATAATGAACTAAGAGCTGTGATGGAAATTATTCCCCTTAAAATAAGAAGAGATATTTTTGATGTTATAATTTTATAGAAATTGTTTAATTTTATTATAGAAAGCCCTGAGCTTCTGCAACGAGTTTATTTAAATGTTCCTTTGAAATTAACTAGACATAAAAATTTATTTTCTATCCCTTTCTGCAATACTAACTATTTATTCTCAGCACCTATTATCATATGTAGGCTTATGAATTCAGTAGATTTATTCTTTAATAGCTTACAAAACTTTAAGAATAAAATTACATCCGCTTTGAGTGCTGCTCCAACATTGCATGTTATGTATTTGTATGCGATGTAAAATGGCTAAAACCGTGAATAAAGATTATTATTACATACTAACATCGAGAGCATGACATGGCGATCCGTGTACTTAGTTATAAATCTTTTGGTACGCAATAAAATCATAATTAAAAGAAAGTGGCAGCGTCGGTGGGCCGTAAAGCGTGTATTTGAGTCCCTCCAATTTTTGGAGGAAGCAGTGTAGCAGCAGTGTGCTATGTTGTGTAGTTCTTTCGCATGTCATTTGTGTCCGATGTAACAAAAAGTATTGAAAGTAGTAGTGAGAAAAGACCGGCTGTGGGCCATGAGATACTGCTCATGGGGTCTGATGGGGCACGACGCCATGGGGTTTGACGAGGGTTTTGACGTGGGTTTTGACGTCATTGATATTTCGACTTGTGACGTCATTGTGTTTTTCTCTCAACCTGGGGTTTTGACGACGGTTTTGACAACCCTTATGAAATCCATCGATGGTTGAAAAAATCAATGGCGTTGCACGAAAAAATAAAGATTATCATTCCTTTTCAACCCGAAATCCGGATCGTTACAAAACAACTTACTGCGAGTAGGAACTGTCTTTTTAAAAAGGATTGAACACCACACTCACTCCATCATTTATCATTTCTATTAAGATGATCATTTTCGTGTTTACATTCCAAAGATTAAATTTTCGCTCTCAAACCGACAAATCTCGTTATCAATTTCTCTTAACTTCATCTATGAACTTACCCTTCACTTTTTTTTCTAATTGAAGAATTATTACCTGGGCGGATGCCCAGGGGAAGTCTCCTCGCCATGGGTGGTGTCCTCTTGTGGGGATCCTCGCTGTCCGGGCTCCAGAAGGCTCCTATCCAGCGTCGGACAGCTCCTCTCTTCAGCAACTTCTCTTGGTCCATCGTGTATCCTTCTCCATGCCGGGGTCAGTCTCGGTCCGGTAGCAATCTCGACAACTGGACGGCTCATGTCTGACAGGTAGCATAAAGCATCTGTCCCTGTCCATATGACTACACGCAAGAGCCATCGAAGAGCGCAGAGCGATCAGTTACATGGTGAGGAGTACACTCTTACCGCGTTTGATACTCCGAGGTCACGGTCTCTTGGTGCGCTCCGAAAGTGCCTCCCGCGTTCCGATCACTATCCCTTCGACCTTAAAATACGGCTTCTGGTACCGCTCTCGGGGAACGCCACGAAGAACTATGTACTTCTCTTTCTTTGCCTCCGCGATGCGGCTCAAGTTTCATATACCACTGCAAGTTCTAGTACATATACTTCATCTTGATTAGTGACGATTATGTCCGGTCGCAGCGTTTGCTCATTGTCAATCCTTAAGGGGAGCTTGACGCTGACTAGGTACCCGGAAGCACGGAGACCGGCAGCAAGGACCTTGACGAATTCGCCGTGTCTTTTTATTACCTTTAACTTGATGGGCATGTGGACAGCACATGGGACAGCGATGAGTTGCCAGCCCCACATCTCCTACATTCGGCTGGAAAACTATTATCTACTCTCCTCATCGCCCCCCTCGTTCCCATCGAGTTGGTCCTTAGGCGGAGTGCCTGGACAAACCGGGACTCCTGACAAATCAGACGACCGTCAGAAAGCCGCCGGTTGCCCACCTCATCGGTGAAGCATATCACTCCGTGCCCCGTAGCATCCAAGTTTGCCCAATTATCGAGCTCTCCTTTATAGAGACGTCTTTTTAACGAACGCAGGTCCGCGTAGTTGGTCAGCCACTCGCCTACGCCGAGCCTAACTTCATCTATGAACTTAGCCATCACTTTCTTATTTTATAACAGGGGTGAGACGGAGGGTAATTGGATGTATCGAAATGTTCAATCATTGACAGCGTGTATTTATAGAAATTATGAATTGTTTATTATGTATCTGTTACATTATTATTATTATTATTATGAATCCGTGTCTGTATACAACATCAATTTCCCCTACTCACAGAGCCCTTGGGTTTCTTATCTCTATCAACCATCTTAAAGAACAAACAATAAGGTCTCCTTTTAAAGAAGAGTCGAGGGAAACAAAATAAGGTACCGGGTATGGGGGCGTATGAAGGGAAAGGGGGAATTTCATTAAGGTTGATGTATAGTTCGGCAAGTCCTATATGAGTTCCAACAGAGCCGTATTATTCTCTAGACAGTTCCAAGACGAAAATACGACGTGAATCGATATCAGTTTATTGAATTACATCGTTATTTGCACAAGGGAACACGCTTAAACTCGTGAATGATCATTTTATCGTTACAAAAACATTTATTTGAACTTTGGGGGTTGAATTTAAGTAAACATAACAAATTAAAGTTGAAAAAAAAACAACACATAAAAGCCTGCCCCTTCAACAAGGCTTCCAACAATATATATATATATATATCAGTATAAATATTTTAATCATTCTCGATTAAGTAATTCTTTATCGATTTTTTTTGTTGGTATGATTTGGTGCTTGGTGTTTAAAAACAAATTTTACACTTTAAAGTTGACCAAAGTTATCAAATTCCACCTACAGTAACAATATAATAAATGAAAAGTTTCTAAGTATTCGGAAGTGATTTTGATCGACAAGAATGGATTTATTTTGTGAAATAACTATCGATAGGTTTGGTTTCATTCATTTTTGTTTAAATTCTTACTTGGAAACATCCCTATTTGTGGAGAGGTGAAGTAAATCTTCCCCGTCAGTTTGTTAGCGCGGATCAATATAATGGAGAATCCTACTGTTCCGGACTAAAAATATCATTGGGAAATATAAAAGATTCACCGAAGAATAAACCACACAATGGGACAACCCACCGTCGAATCTTTACTGATTATACCACACGAAACATGCTATTTTAAAGCATTGCTATAATAAATATGCTTTGTTATGTCGTGGATAAATTCCAAGTACGTAACATGACCAAAATGCCTGATTTTCCGTGTAGTAACAAAGAGAAAATTGAATTTGGCCTTTTTTAACATATCCACATTTTGGAGAATTTGCCAGATATTTTGGTTGGTAGTTTGATCTTCTGTTCCAAAGTAAAAATGAACTATAAATATCTTAATATAAAAATAGCTTAATTCGTACAAATACTCATACTGCATCACTGGGCGACTTTTTACCTTCTTTGACAAATCGTCCCAAAGGTATAGGATTTAAGTAGGATTTAAGTCGGGACTAACATAGTGGCTACTCCAAAGGCACTACTCACACGGGGATACTTAAATCTTTGATACTCGGAAACTGAGATACAGAGTCTTAGAGACTCGAGACTCTGGTTGCCCGTCATGCTCACACGACCACCACTGAAGTTGCGAGTTTCCATCAGTAGGTATTCAGTTCCCTGCCTTTTTTCAGTGCGCTAAAATGTCTTGTGGTTCTAGTAGTGGTAGATGATGGGGTTTGGTCTGCGAGTTGGCGAACTCATGTTGAACCGGCACACGGGCACTACTGGGTCTGTCTTCACTCGCGGGTTTTTTGTTTGAGTTATTCAAACGCGTTTCGGCATTACGCCATCTTCAGTGAAAAACTGTCTGTCATTCAGTCTGAGTGGGGTTTATATAGTGTTGCGTCCGTCGCTTGTCGCTGGGGGCGTTGCGTTAGGGGGCGTGGTCTCCGTGCTCGTTGGTCGGTCTTGGTGGCGGTTATTTTCATTGTCAGTTATTATTTGTGCGTTGTCGGTTTTTTGTTTTTTCCTGGTGTTGGTTGCGATGTTTTGTTCTTCTGAACGTTTTCGTTTTTTGTTATGGAGTGTTTTTAGTGGTGTGAAGGTGGTGTGTGATTGTGAGTTTGTTTGTGCGTTTATAAGTTTTCCGTCTTTAAGTGTTATTTGTTTGTATATCTCGAGGTTCTCCAGTATGTTTAGTTTTCGTCCTTTTTGTGCGTTGTGTATTAATGTCATGCTTGTTTCTATTGTGTTTGGTTCGTGGTTGTAGTGTATTAAGTGTGTGGCGTAATTTAATTTTCCGTCATTGTCTCTGAAGGATCTAAGAGGTTTGAATCGATCTCTTAGTTTCCTTCCAGTCTGTCCGATGTAAGTGTATCCGCATTGATATGTGATGCTATAAACACCGTTGTTGTCAAGCGGGTTAGTTGTGTCTATGTTTCGTTTTAGTACTTTACCTGTGTTATTGTTGGTCCTTAGTGCTATTTTCTGTCCGAGTTTGTTGAACAGATTTGTTAGTTTGTAGGTTTCTTTTCCTGTGTATGTGAATGTTGTCCATTTGTTGTTGATTTGTGTTTCGTTGTTTTGTTTTGTTTTTTAGAAGTTTCTGTATGGTGTTTGTTTTGTAACCGTTTTTATTGCAATGTTTGTTATTGTTTGCAGTTCTTTGTTGTAGTTTTCGGTGTTGAGTGGGATTGTTTTTAGCCTGTGTATCATGTGTCGCAGTGCTGAAGGTTTGTGTTGGTGTGGGTGGTTTGATTGTGCATTTATTATGTTGTCTGTAGCAGTGGGTTTTCTGTATATTTTGAAGTAACAAAATATACAGAAGTGAAGACAGACCCAGTAGTGCCCGTGTGCCAGTTCAACATGATTCTAGTAGTGGTGATGATATTATTATCCAGAACTGTAATCACTGCCGCAGAAAGAGGACAGTGAGAAGATTTTGATTACAAGCATAAATAGAAGGAAACATAAATTGTAGACTATTTGTTGCTGCAAAAGAATTGCCGGACTCAGATTCAAAATTCCTCGCATTCTACAGAATGAGAAAGGACACGTAGCGAAAACCAATGCAGCTCATCACTCCTGCCATTCATCATACTGCAACATGAGGGAATCTTGGAAAATAGCAATAGTTCATTGTAGCAATGTAATTTATTCAATATTTACAAAAGAAAAAGGAATAGCATCGTTTGTACATAACATAAAGAATCTAAATAATAATTCATTCTCCACTTCACCTACAAACTTCAAACTGGATTATCTCCGTCTGAGTGGCACTACCAACTTACACGCGTATCTTAGTTTCCGAGTATCCCAGTCGTTCCGAGATTTGAGTAGCCCCGTGTGAGTAGTGCCAAACATTGAATTGAAGCCCGTTACAAGTAGTCAGCAACGATCATTGCTGTGTGGGACCTTAACACCGTCGCCAATTAGTGGCATGTAAGGAACAACTTCTGATAATGTACCGCTCAGCTGTTAGGATGACGATCAATTTTGTGCGACCTTCCATAGAAACACCAGCCCAAACCATAACACCACCATCTCCATAGCATATCCGGAGTGAGAATGTTGATATATCGCTCTTCTGTTCTTCTACAAACCCTCTCTTGGCCATCAGAAGACCTCAAACAAAACCTGAACTCATCCGCAAACAAAATTTTAGTCCAATCTTGCTCACATTAATTGATGCGATTTCTTGCGAAACTTAACCGAGATGTTTTGTGCCTTGTAAGAAGTTCTGGCCAGTGGCAGGCTTTCTCGCATGCAATCCGACTTCTGAAAGTCTTCCCCTTACATTGCGTAAACTAACAAAAACATTTCTAACTTGTTGAAGTCTTGATTGATCTCAACAGCGATAGAATGTCCTTACGGAATAGATTCGTTGCACTAAAAGGATCACGACACAAGATGGGACACGATGGCGACATGATCCATGCCTTCTTGAGTAACCTCCAGTTTCTTGGTAGCGATAGAAGACCCTTCGGACAGTTGTTCTGGGAATGTTAAGAACCCGGGCTGTATACACTTGACTTCTTTCATCTTCCAATAATGCTATGATTCTGGCCAAACCTGTATAACTTAGTTAGTTCCTTAGAGTGCGTTTGGTGAGGTCATTGCTTGAACTGAACAGCGGTGGAATTCCGATTACGGGGTACATTTGAGATAATAAATCTCCTTGTGGTGTGAAACGTAATGGCGACCTGATCCATGCCTTCTGGACTCACTTTTACAGAGAAGCCAACAAAGAAGAGATTGTCTATTCAAAGATTTATTTACAAAATCCAATTGTAAACACAAGTGGAAGAGTTCATCTGTGTTTTATTTATCTCTAACCTTTTAAAACGGACCAAATAGTGTTGTAAGATAATCAATGGAAGATCTTCTGACAGATAATTAAAAATATTAGGGATGACCACTTTTGTTTGCTTGCTAGTGTATAAACAATAAAAGAACACTTCTTACTCCCAAAATCAGAAAAGATGACTCAAGTACTCGATGCCGTGCTCAAGCACAATTCTTGAATCAGGTGGCATTCCTACACGCTATGAAGATGAAAGGACGATCTAACAGAGTATGGCGAGACGAAATTCAGGAGAGATTAGGGGATTCATTGGAGCTAATCTTTTGAGGGAATGTTAATGTAACAAAATCGCTAATTATTTACAGAAGGGAAAAATAATTAAATTTGGTTTCAACTAATAGAATTTCTTGTGCTATAGCCCAACTTAATTTCATCCCTTGGGAGAGGTTTTTGTAAAGCAGGTATAAAGCCAGTAATTTATTTATTTTACATTTATTGTTTTATATCTACGAATTTGTGGCAATAAATAAATTCTGACATCATGATAATGTAGGTTGTTTGATACGACGACTTACATTGGGTTCTTGAAAAGTACCTTTGAAATTAGATTAATTTCTTTTGAGAACAAGCTCTATTTGGTCCATTAATTGTCGTTGATCGTTCAAAATTTGTTTTAAAATGGACTTAGTGTCTTCGGTGAGTGTGTTTTCCGTTGATAAGGATATGCTTGAAGAATTAGAGGAGGACCTGACGCTCCTTAGGTTATTGTCCACCATTCCGGCTAACCGATCGATTTTATTGTCGAGAAGGCTAATAGAAATTTCATTGTGTTTCTGGCCCATTTGGTCCCAGAGTCTGTCCAAAACGGCTTCTTTCATAGCTCTCGGTAAGACGAAATCATCGGAGTACATCGGTTGCGACGGCAGGATGACCGTGACTTCGGGCACCGCCCTCCTCCTTTTTAGCACGTTGAAAACACCGCATGGCAGAACTTTTTGGAGCTTTTCGTTGTAGACGCAGCGTTCGAGGAAGCTGAGGAAAGCCGTCTGCTTCGCGAGCCGCTGAGTCTTCCCTTGGGCTTCCAATTCGGCGATGTCGCTGACAGCCAGGCCCACCATGAGATTCATCATCACCATGGCGACGAGGACGACAAAAGTTGCGAACATGAAACGTCCGATGATGGAAAATGCGGTGACTTCGTGCGCAGATTCGAACATGTTCTCGTAATCGAATTCCAACATCATAACGATCACTTTAACCAGCGATTCCATGAAGTTCCTAAAAGGCACATTCGCCTCGAACAATATGAGGAAAGCAAATGTAAATCCAAGAACTAAAAACGTAAATGTTCCCAAAACCTGAAAAAATAATAATAATTAGGTACCATATTTATCCTCTTGATCTGCATATCTTCCTTACTTCCCCAACAAAAAATACATATAAGATAAATTAATTTTTGCATTTCAATACAAACTGTTGCAAGAAAACAATTGCAAAAATAAACAGACCTGAAAATTTTGAACAAATCAGTATGACCTAGAGTCAAGGATCCGATGACCATGAGGATGATGAGAGTGCGAAGGCTTGGGTAGGCCATAGTGGCTTTGGCTCCTCTCCTCCTTCCTAGCATGAGCCATCCAATACCTTCCCATAACTCACGCTCTACCTTACCCTCGATTCCTATAGAAATACCCCTCTCCCAAGAGAGAGAGCATACGCCCGAATGGCTGCATGGTCAGGCCTGACCGTTAGTACGCGAACTCTGGATACCGAGCGACTCCAGAAGTAATAGCCTTCCCATAACTCACGTTCTACCTTACCCTCGATTCCTATAGAAATACCTCTCTCCCAAGAGAGAGAGCATACGCCCGAATGGCTGCATGGTCAGGCCTGACCGTTAGTACGCGAACTCTGAATACCGAGCGACTCCAGAAGTAATAGCCTTCCCATAACTCACGCTCTACCTTACCCTCGATTCCTATAGAAATACCTTTCTCCCCAAGAGAGAGAGCATAAGCCCGAATGGCTGCATGGTCAGGCCTGACCGTTAGTACGCTGACTCTGGATACCGAGCGACTCCAGAAGTAAATAGCCTTCCGAGGGCAAAGAGCTAAACCCTGAAATACTATCTTCAGCTGATATAATTGAAGCTAAGACATCTAAACTAAAAGAGAGGAAAATTCCTCAAAGCTACTTAAGGACAAAACAAGCTCAGCGGAGCTGCCAAAAGAAAATTTATCTGGTTGCCAGCAGCAATGCCAAAAGTTTCACACCAACCACTAGATCCACCCTAATCCTGCTGGTCGAGCCCTCCCTACATATTCTCATCCCGAGGACCCACCATAATCGATCATGGGCATGAGACCTGAATGCACTGAATGCAAGCTGGTTTCACATGACTATCTATCTATCTATTATCTATCTCTTTGAAACCGGTCCTACTAATCAAATTCCTTGATGAACTAGGACTCACCGGTGTGCTATAGGCACAGAGCCGGGTATGCTACAACTCTTCAAGGGCGCAGTATATTACACCCTACGACTAATACATCTACATCTACATCTCTATCTATCTATCTGTACAAAAGAGTCTTTTAGCCGAATTGAAACTTTTAAAACTTTTTAAAAGTAAAACTCATAAATAATAACTCATAAAACATGTTACCTTGAAAACATTGGATGCTACACGTGAAAACATCAAGACGTAAAATCCCCAGGAGGGAAAATGGGCTAACAGGAACAGCAATTCCATCCAGGCGATAAGTATCGCGACGGATGTCACGTAACGGGCCCAGACTAGATTCGGATCAATCAGGCCGACTACAATCGTGGAAAAGATCACGGCCCACTTCACCCACGACTCGAAGTCAAGGAAATAATACCTTTGTAGCTGACTAGCATTGACGATTTCCTGAAAACAAATAATTTAAATCAGGATAAGGAATTATGAAAAATGGCGTGTCGTACATAAACTTACAACTATTACTATGGGCAGGAGAGACGCGTAAAGTACCCCTCTGGCGACTTCAACGCAAATTTTTAGCACATGGGTTGAGTTTTTTTCAACATATTCTAAATGCGCTAAAACTGTAAGAGACAGAGTGAGGATGACATGTATTGCCATTATCGCTGTAAAAAATATTCTAAGTCTTTTCCATTTTAGAAAGAGAAATATTTCTACCAAAGGATGGAGGAGGAATCGCTCTTGGAGCGCCCGTTTTCCGCTGTTTAAGACAGCGTTGAGTACTTTCAGCTGTTTTCCGGATTCTTGGTTGGGCACCAAAATCTGGTATTTAAGCGTAATTCTGCATTCGGGATCTGATAATGAACGTTGGTTCACTTCTATGTAGGAATCGAGTATTTGTTCGATGAAATCGATGGGCTGAGGGACACAGTACATGATGATATCCAGCCCGGACCTTTTGCAGCTTCTGTCCTGGACGGTCTCCGATATGTCCGCGCCCATCTTCAGCATGAGCTTGACGCATTCGCCGTGACCTGAGCTGGCAGCGACGTGCAGAGGCTGCCAACCGTCTTTGTTCACAGATTTCAAAGTGTTGCTGTCGCAGGAGACTATTAGCTCGATGGCTTCGAGGCAACCGTATTTGGCAGCGAGATGGAGTGGCGTCGAACACTTTTCAGGCTCTTCGGACGTTTTGGCATATATGTCGCATCTTGCTGCTAGAAGCGGTCTGATGCATTCGACGAATCCCTGCTTTGCAGCGATGTGCAGGGCAGTCATCCCGCCCTTTTCATCTCTGAGCTTAACGTCCTTCAGCTTTTTCGCCACTTCCGGGTCGCGGAGGAGGTATTCGACTATTTCCGGCGAGTTGTTGGACGTGGCGCAATGTAGCAGGGTAAAATTACCTTGCACGCTCACTGTCAGGTCCGCACCATTTTCACACAGAATTTCCATACATAATGAATGGTTGTTTATAACGGCTTGAAAGATCGGCGTGTGCATGGATGTATTTCTATACTCGAGAACCTAAGAATAAAAGTTATGCTTAAATAGTCGTACATTCCAAAAAAGTTCCAAATTTATTAACTATTAATTGAAATTTGACATTTCCATAAATAATTTACTCCCACTAATGTATAATTTTCTGTTTAATGATTGTTTTTGATCAACCAAAACAATTATCTCATTCATACGGTAATACATTTGGATTTGGAATAAGCTCAAATCTGCTCACGTGTATACCTTGGTTCATGACAGACATACCTATCGCTTCTCGCAGTCTACCGGCAATTTAAGTTTTTGTAATTTACAATAAATTCCGACAGGCCTTGAGAATCAACCTCGGTCTTGTTCGTTCAGCCACCGAGGTTGGGCACCGGATGTTGTCAACAGCTAGGTCAATTCAGAAACAAGTTGCAGTTCCTAGATCCAAACTCATTCACACTCTCATTCATTCTTAAATACATCCTTTCTTATTTAGATATCATTCACTCAGGGTTGAGGAGTACTCGATATTTCTTCATCACCCTTTACACCTATTATATAACTAACTTAATTGATGGTCGATGGGGGTTCTGAATATTACGCCATCGGCCCTCTCACACAACCCATTCACGCCAATAAATACATTCACTTTCAGAGATGGTTAGAGCGTTAGCAGAACAAAAGTATCAGTACTATACAATGAAACAACCAAATTCAGAACAGGGGACCGAGGTAATTGTATTCTCATACTCTTCAATTAAATCGGACAACCTTTCTCTACATGCACACAAACGCGGGCTTTGGCTTAACCTTAAGTGTCTGTGTGTCAAACTCGCTTGGCCTATTCTTAATCGAGCAAGCATGACCCTTTTTCACTCAAATGATTCACGACAGTGCTCATGATACACGAGAAATAATATATTGTTTTCAGCTAAATGTTATTACTAACATTGTAGACTTGATGACGTCTATTTCTACGATAATTTAATGGACGGCGTTCCATAAAGTGCCTAATGGTAGGAATGTGCAAAAAATCGGTGGGATATTTGCATGCGTGAGGGTGCCAAATAAAAGGGCTTTAGTTTGCCGAATCTCTTTCTGAACGTCCTTTCATCATATGAAAAATCTAAAATTTGATAAACGTTAAAAAGAGCCTTGGATATCGAATACTCCTTCCGATACGCAATTTTCGGAATGTCCTCTGCAGGGTGTACCGAAATGTAGTCCGTATAAATCATCGTAACCCAATGTGCCAGTCTAATGCGTGTTGGCCCGAACGGCCCCCTACACCCTTTTGAATCGATTGAGACATGAAAAATGGGGCGTTTTTAAAAAAAAATGATACAGAACAAAACACCGGAAAACGAAACGAGTTTTTATTCCCCTGAAATTTTATTACAAGAATGTGAAGACCTCGGTACCAGAGGTATTTCATTCCTGCGGTTTAATTCATGTATTCAAAATCGTAGCCAAAGTGTTATGGTAAGTTGCAGCTTGAATTGCAAGAAAATTGTTGAACGTGGGGTGCCACAGGGGTCTGTGCTCGGCCCCACTTTGTTAAAGAAAAATTACCACATTAGGACTTAACGGCTTCCCTAACAGCTTTCGCTGACACTTCCGACGAATTGAGTGGATATAGAAGGTATAAATCATGATATTAGTATTTTTAATGACTAATTTCTTATAAATGTCTACCGTTACGTCTAACATCAAAATTTATTCATTAGATTTCGTGGTCAGATTGACCAAATAACATCTTTCAATTAATTACCGGTGGCCGCAATTGAAAAAAATTGACACGGCACTCATCAATGGAAGGGGCGGCACCGGATCTCAGCGACCCTGAAATTGGTCCCAACCCCCTTCAAAAATGAGTTTCTTCGATGGAAGAACACCGATACATTGGGGGCTTAAGTTCACATTTGTGTTGCGAGCCCTCCCCCAAAAATATGGAGCTTCAGTGCTCAGGAGGGAACTCCTCCAGTCCCTGGTATCCATTGTAGGAAAAAGCAAAACAAAAAACATTACCTTTTTAATTATAGAGCGCTTCGTGAATTTTTCAATACAGGAAGCAATTAAAATGCTAAATTCAAAACTGTAAATTCCAAATTAAGAAATTCTGCTTTCCTCAGCCTAACTGTACATTTATGTTAAACTCTTTTCTATACATTGGCCACAACTGGCATAACATGATTCCTCCCGTATTAAAAAATTAATTAAGAAAAAATTAACTTTTTAATTATTTTTATGGCTTAGCTTAGTTATATAAATTCTCAATTAATTATACACAATTTTTTCAAAATGAAAATGCTTACAGTTGGAATAAAACGGGGAGTCGAAATGAGAAGTTTGTGGCATGGGCGATCGAAGTCACGGTAGCTCAAGTGGTAAAGCAGGGGCGTATCTAGCCGAAAGTCGTGGGTTCGAATCCCGTCTGTGACACAAATTTTTCATTTTAAAAAAATTGTGTACAATTAACTGAGTAAAAAAAAGATTGTGATTAAAGTGTGGTGATGAGTGACCGTTAATCGATATTTATTTAGAAATCGTGAGATGCGGTCTGGTGTGATGTAGGTTTCAGAAAAACATTTTCCTTATCGTGCCAACGTTTCGATCTTTATTGAGATCATCTTCAGGGCCTGTGATTTACAAACATTATTTACATATAACAATTACATTTTGGATGTGGAAAAGTGAATTTATACAATGCAAAATATATTTTTTTATATATTCAATCAAAGTATTTCTACTCACTCAAAGTGTTTTTCTTCTGTGTAGTAGTGCCATTCTTGCGTGTCGTGTCGACAGTGCCAGTGAGATTTTGCTATTTTGTGTTTATATACGTTAGATTTTGATGTGGTGGGGGAGGATGTCGGTATAGAAATGTAATTGTTATATGTAAACAATGTTTGTAAATCCCAGGCCCTGAAGATGATCTCAATAAAGGTCGAAACGTTGGCACGATAAAGAAAATGTTTTTCTGAAAACTACATCACACCAGACCGCATCTCACGATTTCTAAATAAAAATTGCGATTAAAATCAAATCGTGGCTCAGTAACGTCATTGGTGAGTCTGTTTTAAAAGCTAGATTAATTTAATAATTCAATTAACTTACTGCCATTTGAGAAACCATAAACTAACGCATTTTTCTATTTTTTCATTTCAAATAACAATATACTATATATTTAAAATCTAAATTTACAGTCACTCCTTTCAACCATTCCCTTTAATAAATTTTTTAAAAACATTTTGCAGGTAGCACTTACACAGATATTTTTCTAAGGTTCCTATACTCTCATTTTTATTTTGCATTCAGGCAAGATTTTTAATTTTTAATTTTCTTTATGTAAATACGTTATGTAATTATTTTATTGTATTTTATTGTTTTAATTAAATATAAATAAAAATGGTAGAAAACTTGACCAAACTTTCTTCTTATTCGGATCATCAATGACAACAGTTGAGAAATTTGTTTTTCGCTCTGTTCAACCACCCAAGGCCAAAAGCCTCCCAGGAGATCTGATCCTTGGTATTATTTGCCATTTCTTCCATTCGTTACTTACAATACTAACAATCGCAACAAGAAAACCGTACTAAAATGTAATGATTTTTTACACCTCTATCATAATCTGAAGCATTAGATGGAACAACTAGTCATATTAATGATTCGAGGCCATGCGACGGGAGATCAAAGGAAGTGAGGATGAAAGCGAAACGATGAATTTTGCATGTATATAGCTGTTGGGCCAGCTAGTTATATAAACGACTTGCCTTGGTTGAGTCCGGTACAGAGAGTAATTCTTCGAGCATAAATCTGTTTCCGAGTTGAGCAGCAATGTGAAAAACCGTTTCCCGATTGTTCGTAACCGCGGTCACGTCGGCTCCGGCTTCGAGGAGTATTTCAACTCCGTTCGACCACTCCTGGAGGACCGCCAGGTGCAGAGGGGTCCTGCCTTCACTGTCCCTGACGTCGATCATTTTCGGGTCCCAGCTGACTAGAACTTTGAGCGCGTCCAAAAACCATTTCCTGATGGCTAAATGTATCGGGGTTTCGCCTTCGTCGTTCCAGGTAGAAAGGCTGGCTCCGTTTTGGAGAAGGCACTCGATTAATTCCAATTCGCATTTGGCCACCGCAGTGTGAAGAGTCGTCACTGACATTTTCTTGGAGTTGATCAAACTCCGACTCTTGATCAAGTTGCCTTTCGGCATGTTCGCACCGCGTTCGATGAGCAAATTCACCACCCTGTAAACAGGTTTCACCACATTCCTCAGGGAAGGATTCTTCTTTATCTTTTTACTTCTAAACTCTTCCAACGGTGGGGTTTCTTCTTTGGAGGACGTCGTGTTCGAACTGGAATTACGTCTTCTTTTCGGCACGGGATTGTCAATTTCGTCGTAACAAAGCCCAGAGACGTCAAGGGGCGTCAATCCGTTTAAATCTTCCGCGTGTATATTTGCTTTCATGTGAATGAGCATTTTGACGCAGTTGACATGAGCCCGTTTGCACGCTAAATGTAAAGAAGTGCTACCCTCTGAAACATCGTCCGGGACCTGTAAAATATATCATGAAAATTAAATTGGAACAGAATCATTAATTAGTCATACCAGATGCAAAAGCTCGTCGTGTTTGTGATTCCACGAATCTAGACAGTCTATTTCGTGTGTGGGGTGCTCTTCGACTAAAATCGGACTGTTTATCAGTTCTTCGTCCATGTTCAACAGCATTGACAATATGCTGACGTGGCCTTCCCATGCTGCAAGGTGAATCGGCTGTCTTCCTTCTCTGTCCCTGGCTGTAAAATCAGCTCCGGCTGTGAGCAGAATGTCCAAAATATCTTTGTCTCCTTTCAGCGCGGCGATGTGACAGACAGAAACTCTTGTAGGCCTGCAAGTCGCATCCGGCGAAGCACCAAGCTCCAGTAACCTACAAAAAAGACCAATCTCTTAGAACTCTAACTGCATTAAATAACAATGAATCCTATATTTTTGGATTGTTTAATTTTGTTTTAAATTATTTTTTTTTAAACGAGAGTTCGCAACAGCAAAGGTCATATAAACCCTCAGGGACTCGGTGTTTTCGAAAAAAAAGCCCATTTGTATGTCGGGTTCGAATGCAGGGCCACTGGATTCGAACCCAGGACCTTTACTTTACAATGATGAGCGTCGTGTCAACGCCTAAACCGTTGCGACCACCGAGAGCCCCCTTTCATCGTGTAATTGTTATATAGAATGGTGATATTTCGATTGGCCAATTTTTTTAAGAACAGGCTTGATAATCTCAATTTTTACAAAGTCTTACAACAGCGCAAAAAGTATATAAAATATATTTGAGTATTTGTACATATTATATTTTTATTATTTGGTTTGTTAATTTGAACTAACAATTTTTTTTTCAAATAACAAACAAAACATTTATTCTTACTCGTCTTTTTTTATTGTTTAATTGGAATTTCATTTGCCATTCGCATATGTTTTCAACAGATGATCGGTAGCTTGTGTAAATTTGGACGTTTTTAAAATTTGAAATGAGTCAAAACTAATAACAATCTTGTAAACCACATTTCCCAGTGATTAACTCACAGGAAAGTATATTGATAATAGAATTACTAAGGATGAGATAACATTTTGTACGACACTTGGCACAATGATAAGAAGCTACACCTTCTAGATAAGGTTTTTTTTAAAAAAAAGTATGTTTATGAATTTGTACTGTTTATTTTAAATTCACAATTACGCTGGACGATCATGCTACGACGGAGTACACCTATGAGTTTTTATGTTCAACAATAATAAAAAAATGTTCATCAATATTAATCCACATTATATGCAAACAACATTTATTCAATTTTTTAAATATTTTTTTGTTTTATTTTATTCACAGGAGAACCTGTAAAAATGCTTCTCTGTCTGAGGCGGTAAGGGGGTACTCAAGAAGGACGTGGTTGGCAATGGCCACTACTAAGTTGTTGCCGGATTTTAATTTTGTAAAGGTGGACAGGTAGACCATGGTGGTTTAGTCGGAGGCGGATTATGAAAGTGAGGGATTGTCGGGGATAATTCAAAGAACGGAACCACGGGGAGGAATCTGGGTTTGAATTGATTTGTAACCCTTGGCATTACTTGTGGAACTAAACTCCCTTTGCCAAGATCTCAAGGAGTGCGTATACAAATGAGATCTAATATCTCCAACCGAGATGAAAAACTGCAAAGGACCAGATACAGCCGCCTCTTTCGCCATTATATCGGCTTTATCGTTGTAAACATTGCCGTTATGTCCTTTTACCCAGATTTTATGAATGTTAGTATTGGAGGTTTTTAACTGACATATTAAATTAAAAATCTGGTGAGGACGAAGTGATTGGCTTTAAGGATACTATAAAGGGAATGGACCATACTTTGGCTGTGAGAGAATATAATTAAGTCGGAAGGGTTCATAATCTGAGCATACTTTAAGGCTTCCAAGATTGCTAACACTTCGGCAGTAAAACTGGACACGACCCCACTCAATTTAATTTGTACGGCGAAATTATTACAGGGATCAAAAAATGAACCCACCAGATTACCCTGCTTGGATCCGTCCGTGTATAAGGTTAGTGCCGCGTCAGATTGACCCCCTCATGGCTGCCTCTTCTACATATGGAGGGAAATGAGACCAATGAGGGCTAAGGGATCCGGTATAGCGCAAGTATGGCTAAACAAGGGAAAGTTTGGGTAAAAGTTATCTAGGATGATTGGGGGTTCATTAGGTTGTTTATTACCATATATTTCATCTAGTTGGTTTGATTAGGAGCAGGACAAAAAATCTTAATTATCCCCGAATTAAATTGAGTTACATGGATTCTTACACATTCAAGCAGCTCAACACATCCACTTTAGAATGTAAAGTTAAGGAGGAACAGCAAGTCAACGAGAAATCTTCTATCTTCCAGAGAGAGGATACCAATTTCATTCAAAAGTGGACTCATGAGGTTTTCTTTTAATTTTTAATTTAAATGCAGCAATTCTTAAAAACATTTTTTGGACACTTTCCAGAAACAATGTAGGCTTATTGTATATAAGGGCCCAAACTACACTACCATATTCAAGGATTGGTCTCACATATGAATAATGTAACACTTTCAAAGCTGTCTTACTGTTCAAGTCCACTGACTTCCTTGCGACAAATCCCAACATTTTCATACCATTAGTTTGAATTTTGTCTATCTGGTTACTAAATGTTAATTTCTCATCATGCCAAACACCTAAGTCTTTAATCGCATCAAGTCTCTCTAGAACACAGCCATTGATCACATAATTTTACTCTGTATGTAAATCAATCATTTTTCTGCTATAGGTAACAGTCTTACATTTCTCACAATGTAAATACATTTTATTATTTGCACATCATTGCTCTAAAGAGTTTAGGTCCCACTGTAAGAGGTTGCAGCCAATGATTATTTCTATGGTTTTATAAATTTTGACATCGTCAGCAAACATTTTTAAATTACTATACTTTATTTATGCAGATCATTAATAAATATTTTGAACAGTAAAGGGGCAGATGTCCACCTTGTGGTACCCCTGAAGTTGAATTTATCTCCTTTGAGATAAAATTAACACATTTTAAGGGGCGTGCGACCCTTTAGATATGACTCAAAACACTGGACAATGTCAATGTCTAAGTCCAAGTCGCATAACTTGTTGAGAAAAATTGAGTGATCTACCTTGTCAAAGGCTTTTGAAAAATCGGTGTAGATCGTATCCAACTGTTCATTTTTATCAACGGCTGACAAAACGACTTGTTGAAATTAAATTATTCCTTGCGAATGTTATTGTTCGTTTATATATTATAACATATTTCACGTAATTATCCACAACGAACAATTTTCGATGGCTTAGCTAAGTACTTTTCCATTTGACTTTCAATACAAAAAATATGAATATATTTTACGGAATTTAGAATGCCCTAGAATAAAAAATACAAGTTTAAAAATGACTACTTGAAAAATATTTTAATTAATTTTTTCCCAGTTAAAAGGCTCGGACTGTTAATTTAAGTTGCGAAGTCCTCGTGAATATATTCAACGAAAGCCAGACTTATAAAGTTCGCGACAAAAGAATAGCCCACCCTTGTATTTTGTTTATACATTTCAAGTATTATTAAATTTTTTTTTTAGAATAGATGGCTTATTCAGCTAAATATTAAGTGAAACTTGTTGCTTAATTACAAAAAAAACATCAATCCTTGGGAATAGTAGTAAATATTAACTCTGAAATGGTACAGATAAGATAGCACGCACTAGTTTTTGTCTAAACATCACAATTGTTTATTTTCATTAATTTTTTTAAACATAATTGTCGTTTTTAAGTTATTTTAATAGAATCTTGTTAGTTAATTGTTAGTAAAATTTTAATCCCGGGAAATATTAGCAAATATTGACACTGAGGTGTGAAAAAAATATAGCACACCCTACTATTTTATCTGTAGATTACAATTATTTGTTATCACTAAGTTTTTTTTAACACATAAATGACTTTTTCAGCTAATTATTAAGTGAAACATATTGCTTAATTACAAGAAAAACATCCATCCTTGGGAATAGTAGTAAATATTAACTCTGAGATAGTAGAAAAAATATTGCACGCTCTAGTTTTTTGCCTAAGCATCAAAATTGTTTATTTTCTTTAAGTTTTTAAACATAATTGTCGTATTTAAGTTATTTTAATAGAATCTTGTAAGTTAATTGTTAGTAAAATTTTAATCCCGGGAAATATTAGCAAATATTGACACTGAGGTGTGAAAAAAATATAGCACACCCTACTATTTTATCTGTAGATTACAATTATTTGTTTTCAGTAAGTTTTTTTAAACAGATAAATGACTTTTTTCAGCTAAATTTTAATTAAATTTTGTTACTTAATATCAGTAAAATTTTAAAACCTGGAAATAATAGTAAATATTGACTATGAGGTGGGAGGAAAAACAGCACACCTGTTGTTTGTAAACAAAAATGAAACTCAGCTTGCTGCTACTGTAAATTAAGCGTTTATAATGGGTCGTGCTTGTTGTATGTCGTTTTCTGATCGCGCAATTGTATTAAGAATGAAAAATCGTAAAAAAAATATTTCGAAAATGTCAAGAAACATAAGACGGAGTAGGAAAGTCATTTTTACTTTTTTAAATAATCCAAAACATGCAGAAAGAAGACAACTAGACCATCTGCCTTAACCACCAGGGAAAAACCAGCCCTAAAGTCCTATTTAACAGCTTCGCCATGATGCACCCAGAGGAGGAAAATAAAACGAATACCACCGCTAAATAAAATTCATAAGGAATGCAAAGGTTCAACCCTGACTGTATCTCCTGGAAGGAGGAATAGATTTAAATTGAATAGATCTTTTCAGATATAAAAAGTCCCTTATGGTTTGGCATTTTATTTTCACTATCTACTGACAGAGGAAATGGTATTTTCGAAAAGGTGGAGAAGAAATGGTATAGTGTGGCATCGGTTACAATAAGAAAACAAGCTGTTTTTGTTTTTAATAGAACGAACAGTATCCAATATCTAGAATTAATAAAAAATCATTTAACAAGGAACTAAGAGGTAATGCCGAGTAAATGAACCAAAGTCAATGCATACAGAGAAAATGGTAAAAGCCTTTAAACAAATCAAGCTTTGGAATAGCCAGCTAAGAGTCCTGATTTTAATATAATTGAAGTGTCTGGTTACACCTTGTCAGGGGTGTTTATAAGGGGTTGTGTGAGTAATACTTTACTGGCAAATAATTAACACGATCAATTTAAAATGTAGCAAAAAGTTATTTATGATTTTTTAAATATAATGAAAACAATAAAATGGGATATATACCATTCATTACAGACTCATCAGTGAGTCCCCCTCCACGGAAATCTTTAGTAAAAGGCGAAAGATTTATTCGTTATGAAGGGAGACCAGAGTTATAGATAATATATACCAAAAAGAATACGGTGGGCTATTATTCTGTCCTTTTCAAAATTAATTTTGATTATTATTTTCAAAATTGTGTAATATTTTATTGGCAGATAATTAACAAGATCCATTTAAAATGTAGCAAAAAGTTATTTATGATTTTTGAAAAATAATGAAAACAATAAAATTGAATATATACCAAAAATAATACGGTGAGCTATTACTATTATTTTCAATTCAGTAGTTTCGTGGTCCGCTTGACCAATTAATATATTACAATTAATTAAGGTTTTCAGTTGAGATAAAAAAGTCAATGGCACGAGCGGGATTCGAACTCACGATCTTCGGCTTGATACGCCGCTACTCTACCACCTGAGCTATCGTGACCTTGATCCACTCGGACATCAAATTACCATCTCGACCACGAGTTCGAATCCCGCTCGTTATTCGTGAATTGAATAAGTTTAAAATGAAGTATACCTTCAATAAAGCTCTCCGTGGCCATTTCATTTGTCGCCGAGAATCAAATTGATTACACATTTGAAAAATGGCAAAAAGGAGGGAAAATTCAAAAGGTGTGGTTGAGATGGGAAGTTGATGTCCGAGTGGATCGAAGTCACGGTAGCTCAGGTGGTAGAGCAGAGCATCTATCAAGCCGAAGATCGTGGGTTCGAATCCCGCTCGTGCCATTCCCTTTTTTTATCTCAACTGAAAACCTTAATTAATTGTAATTATGTTCAATACTGTGTAATACTTTGCTGGCAAATAATTAACAAGATCTATTCAAAATGTAGCAAAAAGTTAATTATGATTTTAAAAAATAATGCAAACAATAAAATTGAATATATACCAAAAATAATACGGTGGGCTTTTATTCTGTACCTTTTCAAAATTAATTTTGACTATTAATTTCAAAACTGTGTAATATTTTATTGGCAGATAATTAACAAGATACATTTAAAATTTAATAAAAAAAGTTATATATAAAACAATAAAATTTACCAAATACCCAAAATATTAGAGTGGAAGATCTTTTTGTCCCGAACCATATAATGAAATATCTTGAACTTCAGGCGTAAATAACTTATGAAAACCATTCGAAAAATTATTCAAAACTATTTTTAAATTTTTAAATTTATTTAGTTTGATAATTAGTGATATCAATTGAACAAAGTTCAAAATTTTGATAAATCCTTTATAAAATAATTGCCAAAAAATACAATATTCCTAAAAAGAAAGCGTATCAACAGACATAGATGTGACTCTGAAAATATCAAGGAAGTTTGAAGCAAAATTTATGATCAAACGAATAATACATTTTTTTCTAGTGAAATATTATAACAGAAGATATTTAAATTGTGATCTATTTTTCGCTCTTGCGTTGTTTAATTTGATAAAATAAGACGCCTAGAGATAACAAATACAACCGCTTGTCTGCTATGCAATATAACCTTGGTGTGTTGACTTTTTTTTTAGAATACAAAATTAAAAATTTAGAATTTGTTCCGGGGATTTTTTTAAACATAGTTTGATTAACTTTGACTTAATTTGATTTCTTTACTTGATGTTCTTTTACCTTATTGTCTGTTGGTGATCTGAGCGAAACACCGCAGTTAGAAGTTCCGTGTTGAGCCTTTCTTTCCTCCTATCGTGTCTTTTACGGTCTACCGTCAGGCAAATCGAACCGGAATTGGATGCGGTCAACGAGGGTTGATCCCAGGGCGATCTCTGGATCCTGATTCCCTCCGGGACTTCGAGTAGTTCGAGGTCAGGAACCCGCGTGTACTCGGATCTGCTCATCCTCATAGCCGCCGCCCCCGCCGGTCATAGCAGACTAAAAAAAGTTCGAAACGTATTCTGCCCCCACTAAACCTTATCACTTTGACTACAATTTGCCATTTGACTAACCATCGTGGAAGACGTAAGATCGGTGTCTTATCGCGTATCTGATAACGAGGCTTAGATTTGCCATTAAAAAGAAGAAAAAAAAAAACAAGGCACTAATGAAAATTGGGATCATGTACATATGTATCTATGTTGCAAAACTTCAAAAAGTATAAAGACCGTTTGATTTTTCATCATAAATTTTCACAGTTGATCAATTGCACAAGTTTAATATTTCAGGTAGTAGATTATTAAAATGAAAACTATATAAAAAAGATAGATTATCAGAGAAAACATTGAAAATTAAATAGCCCTTCAATGAAATCTGATGATGAGAATACAACGATATTTCTGAAGTCTTCATTACGTATATTTTGAATTTTAATTTATTCAAAAATCGTTTTTATCTTTTTTATTTGAAATAAAATATAAGAGAGTTCGTTATGATTCTTATGAATATTTATCTCTTGGAAATGGGTCGATCCGGGAAGTATTAGAACGTGCAACTTGTTGCCTCCAGTGCCTGTTGCTCAGAGGCTGTTGCGTGCCCCTGACGGTCTGATTTTACCAATTTCTCTCTGATTCTTCCCTCCTTAAAAATGATTTACAATGTAAAAACCCCCTTTCTGTTTTTCTCGTCTTTATAATTTGAAAGAAAGAAAAGAAGAGAATTTTAATATCTCTGAACGAAGAATTTATATTCTCCAGTGTCGTTGTGCCTCTGAAAGTAAGACACCGGATAAAGGCCGGATCAAAAAGTGGCGATCGATTACGAAAAAGGTCGACTTTAAGTGAGAATCCTTGTAATTCAAAACCGGCTTCGTGTTGCCTCAACGTCCTCCGGCATCAAAGGTGCGAGGATATTGACTTATGACGTGCATCTTTCATTCAAATAATGCTGTTCTTCAGTCGCGTGAACTGCTAAGAAATGGATACGCCATATCAGATTTTTTCTCTATATAGAATATGACGTGGGACATTTCACTAAGCCGTAGGAAAATTGCAAAAGATACATTTTTTGACTCGATATCTATAAGCCTTCATACTTAAAAACCACAGCCACAAGTTGTTATGTTAAAAAGCGTTTGAAAGTACAACATATAAAATTGATAGAAAATTCTAAAAAACTCACAAATGGATGATAAAGCTATTCACATTATCGCAAACCTTTACTGGTACCAAAAAGCAAATGTTACGATAGGCTGCACATTGAAACCAAATGAGGTGTAAGGCAGGGGTGCATCCTGTCGCCACTACTATTTAACATATATTCCGAAATTATATTCAAAGAAGCTCATGATGACATGGAGGAAGGTGTAATTTGTGTAATTGGTGTGCATCCCAATAAATAATATCTGATATGCAGATACCATTTTAATTGCAAACTGAAGAACTACAAAGCCTACTGGATAAGGTAAACAAGTAGTATACATGGTTTAACTCTAAATGCGGCAAAGACTAAATTTATGGTTATACAATAAAAAATCGCAGAAAATTGAAATCAAGATGGAAGTCACCTAAGAGAGGGTCTCAAAGGTAACATACCTAGGTTGTCAGTTCAAAGACCTATGGGACCAACCTAAAGAGATAAAAGTGAGCAATAATAAGCAAAAAATAAAGAGATAGAAAAGGACAGCATTTACTAAAAGAAAAGGGTACTGTGCAGTACACAGCTCGACCTGGGGTTAAGGAAAGGATTATTGAAATACGAACGAAATACGTCTTCTCAACTCAAAGCTTGGACACTAACAGAAGACACTATGAAAAAGCTTGAGGCATGCGAGAAGGAAGCTAGAAATTAACCTGGACTGAATCTTTACCGGGTATGTATTCAGGAAAATAAACAAAACAACAGAAACTAAATAACATTAATATTAATAATTAATCGTAAAAACAACACAACTTGGGTATTTCAGTCATGTTCTACGTATAAATATGATCTGCTTAATGTTATACTAGAAGGAAAATTGAAGTGAGGGTCCTGGAAGAAGAAAGATTTTGTGACTGAGTTCAACCAAAGCAGTGGATTCTTCTTTAAACCTGCTGTTGACAAAGACGCATTGCGATCATGATGATCAACGTCCGTTACCGGATAAGGTGATACGGCGTCATCAGGTTTTGTTATTAAAACTTAAACTAATTTTCCTTAAACTTAAAAACAATTCATATAAAAATGAATGAGGACCTCTCAGACGCCCAGTTTCCCCAAAGAGAACACCAAGAAGATTTTACATGCATGGACTTGTCAGATCCGTTGGTTAGCAAGGTGGTGCAATGTAAACCAAGTTCAGAAGTGCCCTAAAAAGGGCACATCCATACATGTGCCTTGAAAAAGGCAGTTTTGTGGTTTCTGGCACGGTTTTTCAGGCTTTCACCACCCTCGGTTAGATAGAGAAGGCACTCTAGCTCCGGCACCGGTTGGCTTCCAGCTAAGATTCAATTTGTTTGCAAACCACGACCACCTCGAGTCCAACCTCAATTACTAGAGCCGCTTGAATACTCTACTCCCGTGGGTCAATATTATTTTCATAGTGGGACTGATAGCCCACCTGGGAGTTCGTACGAACCCCCTACTGATGCACCCGTTGCCTGAGGGGTGCGGGTTCAGTAACCCAGGAAGCCTCTGCTAAAGCAAAGGGGGTAAGGAAGAGAATGGAAAATTAGGAAAGGAAGGGTATAGGAAGATAAGTGGGGAATTGCCTCCATCTATTACCCCCAGGCACTTGACGAATTGATGGACGGACTTTGCCTGGGCCCACAAGGAAGATGTCCCTGTGGGTAGGGATATCTCGGTGACGTTCGCGCATACACCCGTTACATGAGAGGTGCGGATTCAATAACCCAGGAAGCCTCTGCCAAAGCAGAGGGGGTAAGGAAGAGAAAGGATAATTAGGAAAGGAAGGGTATAGGAAGGTAAGGGGGTAAATTTGCCTCCATCATTGGTTACCCCCGAAACCCGGGTCGATGGTCGGACTTTGCCTGGGCCCACAAGGAAGGTGTCCCTGTGGGTAGAAATGTAAGGGACAATGATGTGATATACAATATTATTATAATAAATGGGCACTAACTAAAAACTAAGGTGGGAAAGAGATTGATTGATTGATATCATATCATATTACATAACTCTCAAGATTTGGTCTCGAGGACCACTCTTACATCTAAAGAGAAAAATTAAACGCTCAACGTGGGGCACGAACCCACGACCCTGAGATTAAGAGTCTCATGCTCTACCGACTGAGCTAGCCGGGCAAGAGGGAAGGAGAGAGAGAGAGAGAGAGAGAGTGAGAGAGAGAGAGAAAGAGAAAGAGAAAGAGAGAGATAGAGAAAGAGAGAGAGAGAGAGAGAGGAGAGAGAGAGAAAGAGAGAGAGGAGGGAGAAAGAGAGTGTGATAAAGAGCAAGGGAAAAAAGGAGTGAGAGAAATTTAACTAGGGAACTAATAAGGGAGAGAGCAAGAGAATGAAATAATTAAAATAGCTAAAATAAAAATAAATATATAGACAGAGTAACAACGAGAGGACTTACAAGAGAATAAATGAGCTAGTGTTTAAGGAATGGTGGAACGTAGAGTGAACAAAAAATTTCATTTCCACGTTACAAAAACATTGCTAAGCCTCTCGGCTAAAAAGGATTATCCCTATATACCAACTTGGGGCCAAGCCTGGCCTAGACTGTCTAGATTCATTCCAGCTCCTTCAGTTTTTTTTTTTGTGAAATTTGAGGACGTCCAACCGCTCAACTAGGACACCAACTGCCGAGAAGGAACGTTCATCATCTCCGGCGAACGAACCGGGTCAACTACCAAGAGGTCCTGGAAGACCACCCAACCGATTTGAATAGTTTAGGTAATACCTCTATTTTCATACGCCACTCGCACAGTAGTGAGCTTCCTATAGAAAAAATAAATAGTGACTTTACTTCGTGTTTCAGTCGACGCGGAGTAGAACTGAGCTGACGGGCCGAAGTATTGGGATGCGTGGAAAATTGTTTGTAATGGACTATCACTACTTCTGGAACGAAGGGAACGTCAAGGTCTCCATTTAGGAAATGTAGGGTTAATAATTTTTCTTAGGACGTTTGATTGTTATGTTTGGTTGCGATGGCAGTTGAAATGCTTGGCTGACCCCCCAGAGTTCGATAACACAAGTCATAGGTTTGATAATATTTTTAGTGTAATTTTTCTTCAATAGGTCGTTTCATTAAATATATTTTTTATGCTATAATTTATTATATTTCATAAACGGAGATCCCCAAAAAAGACAATTCCTTACAAATATGTATTATTATAATTTTACATGGCTTGATTTTGGGGTGCTTCATTAGTAAGTTGAAAGAAAAAATTGAACAGCTTAAGTGCTTTATTTTGCTCTCTGAGTTTCAAAGCGTAAACAATAAATTTCAATTGAGAAATAACTTTTCAAAAAGTTCTGAATATCAAGTTATGAAATAAAAATGAGCAAGAGGATAAACAACTTTTCCAGTCAACTTGCTTTAACAATATTTAAAGCTTATGTCGACTGTCAGCTTTATAAAGCGTTCATACATCTCTAACATTCGTGCTTACAGATAATAACTGCGTTATTAATAGTGAAATAATAATACTGAGATAAAAGATAGGTAATCGATTGATTTAAAAAATAGGTTTTGATAAGATTAACATTCTCTTGCTCTTTTGATAAGCTATTGAATATCGATAACATAACATACATTTGGCATATTTACTATATGAAAAAGAATTATATTTTATTAAAAAAGGAAATTCTAATTTAATTCTTTTTCTCAACATATTTTAGACATAAATGCGCAAATAGAAAACATAACTGCATGAAATGAAATCAGTAGACAGCATCGAACATAGCATATTAAATATGAATACATATCCTGTTTGCTCCTTATTTAGAGACTACCAATAAATCTATTTTCTATATACAATTTTTTCTAAAATGGGCTTCTTCTACACTCGCGGTTTTCAAAATCAGACACATTGCCAAATTCAATATGTATTGTATTCACCGACTCGCAGAACCAATATGCTCCATAATTTTGAACTATTTTTTTATTGTAGTTTTTATGGAGAACCTCGTCGAAAATTTAAAACGCAGACGAATTTCGCAGAATTCAAACATCTTTGTAAAATGCATAAACCGAGGTCAGCCTTCCTTGCCGATCGTTAATACCCGTAGGCAGTATGGAAATAGACTTCGCTCTCGTTTCAGTTATTACTTACACTTTACCACTAGAAAAGATTCCAAGTCCAATCGGAAAATTGTTTAAGAAAACATCGGAAACGAAATGGTCGAATGTATAGCACAAGATTCCAAGCAAACAACAATCATCACACATTCAATTCCATTAAGCATCAATAAAATCCATCATAAATACATTTGTATAAATTTTCTCAATAATTTCTTATTTAATTTTTTCAAATATTAAATTGTTTACAGAAAATCTGCCATGAGCGTCGATAAGATCCTGTTATCATCCTTCTTCAAAACATCTTACAAGCTTCATTAGAATAACACACAAAAGCTTCATTATTCAAACAAAAAATAAGTTGTAACGAAAGCAATAAACAATTATTATTTTTACACAAAGAACTGTTTTAGCACTTTAATCGAGATAAAAAATATATAGATGGACGTTGTTTAAAAATATTATTTTCATATAATTGTTATCAATTTTTTAGATTGTTATCCGGGATCAGAGGTGTGATCTACGTCGTAGTTTTGTACTACAGCCAGGCTTTCAGTATTTATGCCTTCTTACGGCTCTACAATCAAAACATGACACTAATAATGACACAGAGGATAAAAAACAATCTAGTATACTGTATAAGGTACAATAGTTGCTAAAATGTATATTACGCCGAAACCAGATAATATTTATAAGAGAGAAAAAAGGGTAACAGAAAGAATGACGAGCAGAGGGAGAAAGAGAATGTGATAAAGAGTGACAGAAAAACGAGTGAGAGAGATATAAATAGGGAAATAATAAGGGATAGAGCAAGAGAAGGAGAATATTAATATTAAAATGTTAATAATGACACAGGGGATAAAAAACAATCTAGTATACTGGATAAGGTACAATAATTGCTAAAATATATATTATGCCGAAAACAAACAATATTTATAAGACAGAAAAAAGGGTAACAGAAAGAATGACGAGCAGAGGGAGAAAGAAAGTGTGATAAAGAGTGACAGAAAAAAGGAGTGAGGGAGATATAAATAGGGAAATAATAAGGGATAGAGCAAGAGAAGGAGAATAAAATCATTAAAATATTAAATATTAATATTAACATGTTAATAATGACACAGAGGATAAAACACAGTGGATAAAAAAACAATCTAGTGTACTGTACAAGGTACAATAATTGCTAAAATGTAGATTATGCCGAAACCAAACAATATTTCGTTGAGAGGATAACCCTATAGTTTGAACCTATCTTTTTCTGCCTATAATAGGAGGACCAAGACGATAAATAATAAATTTTCTTACATTTATTTTTAAAATGTAAAAAAATGCAAGATAAATAATATGCATTATTAGAAATAATAAATAAATTTCCAGCGTACAGAATATCCTGTGGTCTTGAAAAAATAGAAAAACATATTTATAATAAATGTGATAGATTTCCTCCTGTGATCTGCCGGGTGATAATTCTATAATTTGAACCTATCATTTTCTGCCTATAATAATGGGACCAAGATAATAAATAATTAATTTGCTTATGGTTCTTTTAACAGTTTTTTTAAGTTGGATTTTCCATTTAATTGTGCTGATAAATTTTAACATGGTATTTCAGTAGATTTGAATATGAAAACAATTGCCGAGATACGCTAACTTATTAGACCGATTAGACTTAGTTTCTTATTAGGCAACATTTTGCCTTATCGTGTATAGTGTATGTGTTATGTCTGTGTTGTATTTTTGTAAATTTATTAGAATGATGTAATTTATTAGCGTGAAAGGACGAGGTCGTTTAACTCCGCTAGGAGGAATATCTAATACTCTGGGGTGAGTGTGTGAGGTCTGGAGAGTAAAAGTAACTTATTAGCGAGAATGGAGTGGGTTCAACCACGCCCCAAGGAATATAGGGCAGACCAAACTCCTATGTTTGCTTCGGCTGTTGTCTTTATGTTATTTTATTGGAATAAATGTAATATATTAGCGTGAAAGGAATGCGTCGTTTAACTCCGCCAGGAGAAATATCGCGTACTCTGGGGTGAGTGTGTGACTTCTGGAGAATAAAAGTAAGTTAGTAGCAAGAATGGAGTGGGTTGAACTTCAGCCAGAAGAATATCGAGTTCTCTGGGGGAGTGAATCTGTCTTTCTATGTTTTTATCTGGTAGAGTTGTGATACCGACGTCGTAGGAACTTGTGTCAAAAAATGATATAAATACCGACGATTCCGACGTGCCGAGGTTTGATGGTTTATGGGTGGGACGCCTGGACTCGCAAAGAGAAGTCCTGCAGTCCTGCTGGGAATCGCCTTGCAGTGCTGCAAAGCCGCGGTGGTTCTTTGGGTCCCATGCCCAGATCTGTCTGTAATATATTTATGTTGATAGTTGACAACCTGAGATACAAATGAGAGGGTAGCATTTTAGAATATCGACGCCGTATTTAGTAACCAGATCGAGACCCTTTAATGGCTGCAGTTTAAAACTAAATACGCGTAAAAGACCAGAAAAAGAAAGAAAACACGCAGAGGGCCGGCGATGACCTCAGCTGTTTGTCGGCTCATAAACCTCCCACATATATACAGACCGATTAGCGCATCTTTATGATCAAAGGGCCGCCAAATGACGGCAAATTATTCGAATAACCTCTTCAAAATTTTAAAAATATAACAGAATTAAACGGACGAGTTTCTTATTTGTATAAATGGATAAATGTGTGTAATTAAATGGAGGATGAAGTGGGGGAAAGATATGGCGTGCCTGTACCGGACGGATCGATACCGGAGTCAGCAGCCCTACTTCAAATCATACCACCTCTACCTGTTACCTTTAACCCTTTTATGTTTCCTTCGAAATTAAATGTTCAATTACCAAAAAATTGAATAAATAAAATAAAATATAAAAACCAATGGGAAAAATCGTATGTGGCAATTTCAAAATCGTTCACACAAGTGGGCCTTAATACGCCCCAATAGTAAAGTAAGTTGCTTGAATAGAAAGTAGAAAAAATAAACAATTATATTTCGATTTTTAGAATTTAATTAATTATTAGATCACACATGTAAAGTTCATTTCTAAATAACACGTACAGTAATTTGCTAAGTTATTATTACTAATTTATTCTTTGAGAAACGTATTAAAGAAAAAGGGAAAACCGTTAAGTCTGGATGGAATACCATCTGTAGTAGGATAATCACATATCCTTCAATCTCCTTGCTAAGCTTCACAAGTTTGGGGACTTCAATATTAGCCGGATGTAGAAAGGGTTCACTGGTGTTTTTGCTCGTCAACTGTTTAATCATCTCCGTTTCTCTCCAACTATTTTTTTTTTTTACTCAGTTGGATCCAATTTTTGTTTAAACTCTCAGGACCCGCTTGAAACACACTGATGGACAAATTTAACCCAACACTCAATTTATTTAGTTTAAATTAAAACCATTATTATTTGGAGATCGTGAGGTGCGTCTGGTGTGACGTAGGTTTTAGAAAGACATTTTCTTTATCATGCCAACGTTTCGATCTTTATTGAGATCATCTTCAGGGCTCAAAGATGTGTCACTCTTGTCTGTCGTGTTGAGAGTGCCCATAAAAACCATTATCTTTCTATATTAATTAAAGGTAATTAGGAGCTATCGTAGTAGAAAGAAACAGTAACTAGTGCTTTATTTACTTTCTTTTTTTTTACTTTTGTACTGACCGATTTGCACAAAAAGTACCATTATGCCCTTCCATTCTGCTACTCCAAAGATAGCTTTTAATTAAACTTTTTCGTTCATTGATTTCATTTGATATTATTATTATTATTCTTAAACTTTTTCAAATGGCTCCAGTCAGGCATATGACTATGGAGACGCCTAGGAGAAACGTACGCCCCCTGATGTAGGTACCTCAAGTTGCATGTTCGTGTTCTTTACTCAATAATTTTTTTTTAGAATTAGGTAATAAACATTTCCTTGTTAAATATCTTAATCTTATAATCAAACCTATTTTTGCTATGCAAAATACGAATAAACCTAAATACGTAAAAATTTAAGGGTTGTGTGTTAATTTTGTCCATCAGTGTATTACTTTCCTAAGTCTTATTTTTCCTGCCGGCTAGTTGCTATGGCTATGGCATTTTGTCTATCTCGCGTTTTTTTATTTCCCTATCCTTTATGTTTAACCTTCCTACGCGTCATTAAAATCAATTGAAGTACACATTCTATTTAAAAGATTATCTAACAGTTTAGCAGGTCTCAAGAGATCTACTGCTGAGAACCCACCAATTATTTCCAATTATTATTTCCATCCGAAACCGTTAAGACAATTTTCATCTTGATGCCCTCTCTTCTTTCTCGCCAATAAATACATTCACACAAGTAAAAATTAGACGAATATCTAAGTTAACCTAATTGATTCGAATGATCAGGGGTACTCGATATTCCACACAGACTGCGTCAATACACACTTAACCACTCATGCAAATAAATACATTCACATAATTAGTTAATCTCTAGAGTTTTTGTATTACGGCAGTGAATACCCCACCTATCAGACTGCAAATATAAAACTAAATAATCTAGTCAACTTTGGGGTAGTTGTCCTCGATATTACATCCCCTCAACATACTAAAACGATTAATATTTTCTTTGGGGATTGATCAGCCTTCTCAGTTTAAATATATTTTTTCTTTCCAAAAGGTAGATTGGGGATGAGGCCAGGAAGACAGAAATAACATTTATTTTCTTGTCGAGCTTTCGGCAGAATATATCGCCTTCATCAGGACTATATAACATCGATGAAGCACCCTAATCTAACTTTTGGAAAGAAAAAAAATTTATTTAAACTGAGAAGGCTGATCAATCACCAAAGAAAATATTAATCAACAGCAGCGGGGTGCTTCATCGATTTTATATAGTCCTGATGAAGGCGATATATTCTGCCGAAAGCTCGACAAGAAAATAAATGTTGTTTCTGTCTTCCTGGCTTCATCCCCAATCTATCTTTTGGAAAGAAAAAATATATTTATATTAAAACGATCACACTAATAGATACATTCACTCAAATAAAGAATATTATACCTAGGTACGAAAATCTATATATGTAAAAATATACATTTACCTGCTGCAGGTATCGAATCAATTTCTTATTAAAACCACTATTGTGCCTTAGAAGGCGTTTAAAATCTGCATTCTGTTAATACGTGCTTTACAGATACTTATGTACAGCATAAAGGGCATCTACGTGGACTTTCTTTGGCGAGGACATGCCTTTGTGTCAACCGCAGGTGGGTAAATGCGATTCTATATTTATTTCCCATTTTTTCTATGGTCTAAGATTTGTCTAAGGGTTTAATACTATATCATGCACTTTGTCGGTCATAAAAAATTAACTTGCTTTATTAGAAGAATGTATAAATTGCATTTGATATTTTCCAATGTTACTGAAGGAATTTTGAATGTCTGGTAATGTAATATTG